CTAGATGTGTGGTGAGAACTGCCATCGGGTTGTAACTGCGAGCGACAGGAGATAATGGGAACAATTCCTGCAGTAGACACTGAAGTCTGTAAGTTCTATGACATCAGTGGCAGCACAAGCATTGTGCTTCTAGGACAGGGAAGCACACTGCCTGGATGACCTTGGAAACCAAAGCCACGCAGTGTCCCCTGTGAGATTCAGAGAGCCTGTGTGGGAAAAGCAGTTTGGTAGCAGCAACAACAGCAAACATGATCTCCTACTGACACTGCACTCTCATATTCTCTGATAAAATCCAAGCTCGAAGGACTGACAGAATACTTTAAATCTTTCATCTGCCCTAGTATTCTAACAGTTTGATGATAAACGTGAATGGCAGCTGAATTTTTACCTTGATTTAAGGTAAACATGCTGCTATTTGAATTGATTAGCAAGTTGCAGTTAGCATATCATTTCGCCTTTGCTCAGGATATCATTTTGCCTTTGCTGTTTATCAAAAATGTCTTTGCCTATATATGTGTTGTTTTAACTGATTCATTACAAATGCTTCAATATATCTGATTCACTATTGCACTAGGTCTGATTCCACAAAACATGATTATAGCTTAATATGTTAAGTTTTATGCTTTGAATTGCTCCTATTAGGCAAGTAAGTAACCAGAGACATACTGAAGCACAGGTGTGCACGCCCTATGGCCTATTTGCTTTCTGAAACAGACTAACACATTCTGCGTGAGCAGAGGCTAATAAGTGACTTATAAAAGGTCACCCTCATATACTTCATTATAATATTCCAGCAAAGAGTTTGCCAAACCATGTTCAAAATGCACAGGAAGAAAATATATTTACCATGTGTTCTTAAGTGTCAGAAATAAGGATAGTAAGAGTTATTTCTGACAGTTGGGCCACACTAAGCCAAAGTAATCAATCAAGTCATCCTGTTAGGAGGCACAGAGCTCATTCAAGGTCACTGTGTGACCCAGAAGCTGCCTGATGGTGTTCACCTCTGCTGGCCTTGGTGGCTTAACTAGTGGCATGGCCCAGCCCTCATGCCCAAGGCTCTACAACCTTGCGTAGGGGTGGGGCAGTGGTCACATTCATTTATATCCATTTACAGTCCTAAAAGGGCAAAGAAGCACCTAGGAAGCCCAAGTGAATTGCCTGGAGCCCCCTCAAATTCCTCCTGATCTCCATCATGTAAAGTCAGCCAGACCTTCTCCTGGGGAAGAGTCACTTTACCAAGACAGTGAATTCTCGCCTTGCCTCTAGGTCCCTGGGCATAACACACCACAAACAGCAGAGTGGCACGCCAGGCTTATAATTCAATAAGATACTTACTGGTCTCATGAGGAAAGGTGGCACCCATGAGGACAGAATTCTAGTCATCCAGCGCTCAGATCCCTAGGGAAGGAAGCGTCACGTTCCCCCAGGAAATCATGGGAGTGATGGCAGCTTCTGCTTCTTCCCTTAGATCCATGCATGTTAGCTTCCTAGGACTGTAATTAAAATTTACCACAAAGGAAAATAAACAGGAAGTTTATTTCCTCACAGTTCACAAGGTTGAAAGTCTGAAATTGGTGTTGGCAAATTTGTTCTTTCTGGAGGCTGTATGGGATAATCGGTCTGTATCTCTTTCCCAGATAGTAACAGTGACAGGAAATCCTTAGCATTCCTTGGCTTGAAGCAGTATCACTCCAACCTCTTATCCAAATCAGGTCACATTCTGAGGTTCCAGGTGACATGAATTTTGGCACCAGTGGCATTACTGAACCTATCACACATGCTGGGCCTGTCGCACTAATTCTCCTGTTGTACCTGGCCACAAACTCCACAACATCCCTACCCCATCACTCACATTTCCCATATAACACCATGCACTGTGTCGATCAAGAAGCAGGGCTGCTTCTACTGGACCCCTAGACCTGCTGCCAAGCCCGTCCCGGCCCTGGGCACCACTCAGAGCCGGCAGCCTTCCACATCGATTAGCACACAGCCACGGCACTACCTGCAGGTATAAATGGCCTGGATGAGGATTCTGACAGAACACCAGACTTCGTGCTTCCTCCTTCAAGGTGAGGGGTGTACACAGTCCTTCCTCACCTTGGAGGGGAGGCACCAAGGGTCCCTGACCAGTGGGAACCCTAAAATGTGTGAGTTTGGCAATGGAGCTCCCAAGGCTCTAGCAGTTCAGGTTTATCTCCTCCCTCTGGAATACATCTCACCAAAGCGGAGGGGGTTTTAGCCCATTGTTTACCCAGCCTCAATATGTTAAAAGATCTAAATTCTTTAGGCTAATCGCAGCCCCAGGACATACACTCCTGTATACTCATACCATTTTTATCGGTTTGAACAAAGACACCACATCCCGCATAGCTGCTGCAATCTTGGTCATTGCTGTTGAACTCTCAGCTGTCTTGGTGCCTCTCTCAGGATCCAACTAGGGTCTGCGGAAGCTGGAATGGTGACTTAACCTCCACACACTGAGACCATCACTTCCATACACCCTTTAAATCCCTTAAAGTGCCACCAAACTCTGCCATCTGGCCAGTCCTATTGCTACGTCACTGTTAACTAAGTGAGCAGCTAAGAGGGCAAGGCTGTAGTTTTGGGTCACTGGCCCACATTTAAAGACAGTAGCTGGGGAGTGCTGCAGGGAGGAGTGGGATCTTTAGGAGGTCGGGGCTGGTGGGAGGTGCTTATGCCATTGAAGCTTTGCCGGAAGAGGGGCTCCTGGGAGCCAGGCCCTGGCTCATCCCCTTATGTTTCCTCCCTTGGGGAGCAGCTTTGTTCTAGCATCCTCTCCTGTCACAGTGCACTTCTTCACCGCAGGCCCAAAGCCATGAGCCACTCAATCATGGACTGAAGCTTCCAAATGAGCCAAAATGAACATTTTCCCTTATAGTTATTTATCCCAGATACTTCATTATAGGAACAGAAAAATGACTAACAGGAGTACTCAGTCTCCAAGGATTCCCCTTGGCGTTCACATACTCGGTGATACCACCATTAGAACACTGGACAGAACTCCTTTCCTACCAAACTTTCCCTCACTCAAACAGGGAAACAAGGGCACTCGGTTTCTGGGTATCAGTGTCACTCCCATGGGAAGCGGTGAATCATACCTTGCACAGATGCGGTGGTAATCCTCCTAGGACACAGGTACCTCTTAAGTCAGGACTCCCAGACTGAAACCAACTCAGGTTCAGAAAAATGAATAAGGGGTGACAAACTGTAGCAGTGTTCATCCTCAGCCTTCAGGTCATCCATCCTTGATTTTGTCTCACAGTACAAAAAGCACTTTTTCGACTCCCTATTTATTATGCTTCTAAGAGTCCTGTGTTATATAATCGGCAGCCTAAGTCCCCTTGACTACCACTGCCACTTGGATAGCCAGTACATTATGACCCTCTGACTTCTGGCAATTTACATAGTGCCACTTGACCATTACTTTTCAGTTCTGTCACACACTGCCATCAGCAAGCCAAGCTCTAATAGCCTTGCTTAGCAGCAGGACTAATCCACAGAAGACTTAAATTTTAATGACACTCATGCCTTATCAGAGTATCTTCAAGGGTTTGTTAAATGTAGCAGAACTGGCCTCCTGAGAGCTGTCTTAAACTGTTTAGTGACACCTGTGCCATGTCAGCAGTGGATGAATCTATGGCATTTTCACAGACCATAATCTCCTGACAGACCTTCTGGAAAAGCCTTTCCATTTCAGCGTATCCACTTCCCTCAGTCTTTTAAATCCTTTCTCCACTGTCTGTCACACAAATCCTGGCTCACAATGGACCAGTACTTTTCCCATGTTTCTGAAAGTCATCTCCCAGGATCCTCACCAGGGTGTTAAGACCTGTAACTTCACATAGCTCTTATCCTGCAATCCAAACACCCAATGAGAAGCTACCACCAAAGTCTCAATTTTCTTTTCTGATGCTCTGTACCAGGGGAGTGAACCTATGGCATGTGTGTTACTGTGTCTTTCTTTTAAAACAGAAGATGTTAAAGTATGACTTGTTTTCTGAATTAAAATCTCAGAATTCAGGTTTAATTGCAGTGTTGTCACCTGTCAAAAAACGAGTTTTGGTTTGCAGTCTGGCTCTCAGTCTCTAACAGGTCTGCCAGCTCTGGTCTGAGTGAAGAACTGATTCCGGTTCCAAGCACACTGCTTCAGTGCTTCCAGGTACCTGCTAGCTCACTCCCGTCACTCCTCTGAGGTACAGCCTGTTGCTTCACGTCCAGGATCTCACTTAGCTTTGCTTAACCTTATTTCAGGCCTGGAGATTATGTTAACTATGTTAACTATAAGGGCCTGGAGAAAATGCATGCCCTGCAAGAGGCCCATGTTGCCTAGACAAAGAAGCCTTTGCAGTCATGCAGTTTGGGTGGAGAATGCTTGCCATGAGATGGGCAGGCTGTCACTGGGGGCTCAGGAAGTTTGGTCTAGGGAATAAAACACTTCAGCAGCATCCATTTGATATGTCTGTCTTTTTAGGTCTCAGGTTTTCCCAAAAAGTACCTTGACCTTGGCATAACAGATCTCTCCTGGCTAGTAACTACCTCTGAAGCTCGACCACTCACGATTATTAAACCCTGAGGTTGATCCTCAGTTTCTTAGCCCTCCAGCTGCAAGACATGGAAAGCTTTTCCCCAAAGACCCTCTGGCTTTCACACCTGGCTGTCCATTGCCTATTACTGCCCTCAGCTGTTCACTGTGACTCTAGAACAAGAATGGAATAACAGTCATCCAAATATTCTTCCTAGGTCTGTAAAGCCAGCCAGGCAGACAATGCTTCTCCCCGCATGTGATCTCCCCAATTCACCGTTAATGAAGCTCTAACAAATGGAACTTGTGCCACCTGTGACAGCTTCTAGACAGCTGAGCTTCATGTCCACCACAGTCTCGGCCACCTACTCCCACAATAGGCAATAGTTTATATAAAAGTAAGGAAATGAAAAACACATTTTAAAAAATGAGAATAAGAAATACAGTATCAAAAGGATTTAGTGAAATAGTACTAGATTTATTCAAAAAGAAAACTAATACTATTTCTATTACTGTGTCTCTAAAAAACAGCTGGCTGATCACATCTGAAAATAAGCATTAAAAACAGGTACTGTTAAGGACATTCATCGTGAAGAAGTGGGTCAACTGTTAAAAACATGAATGACTACTTAACAGCGATATTTAATGAAATTTAGGATACAACATACAACTTTCATTCTGTGGAGACATAAAAAAACACTAATCCATGTTATCCATTACATTTTACAAAATCAAACAATGAATCTATAAGCAATGTTTTTTAATAAAATCAGTAATTTCAAATAAATATATTACCATTCTATCCTTTTGTTATATATATATATATATGTATATGTATGTATGTGTCTAATTGCCAAAATCCTACTAAATTACTGAAATCAATTATACTTCAATCCACGATATATTTTTCTGGACCAATGAAGTAAGTCTTATACTTGAGACGCATTTTCTTACACTGACAGCCTTTAAAATGCTATCCCCTACTACTTGGCCCAGTGTGACTCGTCTTTAGACAAGGTCCAGCTGAGGGTACTTCTCAATACCCACACATGATTCATCACAACAGATTTCCTGTTACCTCTCACAAAGAGCCACCACTGGCTGGGCAGGCAGCTCACCTAGTTCTCTTGTTCCTCAAAGTGAGCATAGCCACTGGCATAGGTCCTTCCTAAATTCAAATTAGTAAATAAATCTGACGACTCAGCATCTGAATCCTTTCCCCCTTCATCTTCTTCCTCTTCATCATCCTCTGCTTCATACTCCTCCTCCTCTTCCTCACGGCCGCCAGCATCTCCATACTTGTCAGAGGAAAGATTCTTCCAATAAGCATCATACCCAGAAGCACCATCTCCCTCTTCAGTTCCAGCCTGCCTGCCAAATTTCAGGGAACGCGCTACGAAAGACAGGTGCACGGCATTTAGTTAATTCCACTTTTATATATATCCTCATTTTCTTTTATAATAAATAGAAGCACATGAACTTCACTGGCTACTCTCCAATGAAAAGGTAGACTATTATTTTCCTAAGTTTTGTGTGTAATGAATCTATACGCACAAGTAACAAACTGTGATTTTATCAAACATAGAAAAACCTTAAAAATTACTTTCATTTCTTCTGCCTTAATAGTGAAGCAAAGTTTGGTGCAGAAAAATCAACAAAATCACTTCTCACCTAACTGGGCAACTTTATCTTTGATTAAACAATATTGTCAAAGTTGCTTAGAATTACACTTTTCTTCTGACATGTTTAAGTAAAATGTCAAACTTCTCTTTAACAAAATGTTAGCTGCGTTACTATAATCACAGTCAGAGCAGTCTTAGTCCTTCATAAAAACAATCCTATAATAACCATAAAAGTTTTCTATAGTGTTTACATATAACAAGTACTGTGCTCCAACCCTATACATCTTAAGAGAAACTTCAGCATGAATCTGACTTCCACGTGCTGAAAATTACTACCACGTGAATATTAGGGATTTATTCAATCACTTAATAACAAAGCTTAACAAACAAGAAAAGCCCCTTTTATAATCTCAAATGTCAGTGTTGTCATTAACTGAAGTAAGTACTAAATATCAAAATAAATGTTGGTTTAAACCGAACGTTTAAACCGAAAAATTATACCTGTACTATTTTCCAACGCTTAAAAGGAGACACTGAGCTTTTCAACTATGGAAGAAAGGGGAATTTACAAAATAGAGAATAAAGGCAAATTTTATCTAAACATGAAAGCAAATTATTCCTCTGACATCTTAAAAGCCTTACTTGACATGCTAAGATCCTTTGTCTCCTGAGTTTCATGTCCACATTTAGGACAAGGAGGTTGTTTTCCTTTTTCCTGTTTAAACACCTTGCTTCTTGTATGTTCATCACAAAAACAAGCCTACACAGAAGAAGTAAACGTAACTAATTAATGTTCAGTATTTCAAGAGAGTTTAATGATACAGTTTTGTTGTGGCCTAGTGATTAAGAATTTCATGGGACTAGTCACACCGCTGATTTCTATTTCTTAAGGGAAATGGTTTCCATCATGACAGACCCAAGGCACAGACTGACTACACATAGAATATGACACAGATGCACTCATCCACTGTTAACATTTGAGAATTCACAGGATCTCTGATGAAACAATAGTTAACAGCCTCATTGAGTGTATGGGACAATGGAGAAACAGCCCCAAGACACTAAGGATTGACAGAGAAGTACAGATGAGGAGGCTAAACAAGACAGGATTTAAGAAAGGCTTTCTGGGAAACACTAAGTCTTGGCTAAGATCTAAAGGTGAATGTGGGAAGAAGGGTAAACTAAAATGAATGTTTTTCAGCCAAAAGAAAGCATACAGACACAGGTAATGCCTAAAGTTTGAGAGAAACATGAACAAATGCAACAAACTGAAAGACGGTAAAATTGGGAGCAGAGCTGGGAGAAAAACAGACAAGACACAGAGAAACATTCCTGAAAGGAAGTGAACTGAATATATCAGTTAATGATAATATGAGTAATAGAAATGGTGGAGACAGCCTGAAGAAACAGAATATGAAAGTTTTCACTCTATTCAATCTCTTCTGAAAAGGTACACTTTACAATGAATTAAAATATACTCCCACCTCTTTGGTCAGAATGTTCTCCATAAAAGTAATGTCTAAAAACGCTGATCTGGAACTTGAGACATGTGAACTAGTAGCAACTATACTACGAGCAAACTGGGTAACTGAGGAAAGTCACTTAAGCTTTCCCAGTATCAATTCCAAAATCTCACTAGTTAAAACTATGTAATTTTAGGCCCCTATTAATTAGAGCTATAAACAAGACTACTACACATGGAAGAAAAATAGGGATTCAAAATTAAATCTTAAAAATCAAGACAGAAAAATACACAAACATACCTTACAACGGAGACATGAATGCTGACCAAGCCGATTGCAAGAAACACCTATGTGAAAGGGATTTATCTTACAATTCTGTCAATTATTCAGTTTTCATTTTCTACATTTGCTTTTTATTGAATCAAACATTCTCAATGAAATTAGAGCCTTACATTCACAGTTGCCTATCTTTGGAGTCAAAAGCTATGAAAACACAGAGATTCTAGGCCTCAAATAATTCAATTTTTATATTATACATTCTGTGAAAGCCTTCAAGAAAACCTCAAATGTGCTATAAACTTTCTGTGCTATTTTAATCCTTGAGAACTTTCCACATAAATATTGCAAGAATCATATGTAGGGGCTGGGGATACAGCTCAGAGACACAAGTGCCTGCCTGGCAAGTACAAAGTCAAGAGTTTGATCCCCAGTATCCACCCACCAAAAAAGAATTACATGTAAATTCATACAGTATGTGTTGTGTGCGTGTCTTAGATCAATGATTTATTTTAAATTTATGGATGAGTGCAGACATTTCATAGCAGCAAAAGAACTAAATAGGGGAGCTAATCTAGGAATTTCAGTCTTTTTTTCTATCGCGGCAGCTACTATTTAATGAAGGCTAAGTGCCAGGTACCCTGCACCAATGCTTTATGTAGATTCTCTTTTCAATTAACCTTTGAGAAAGAAATCATCCATTAAGATGATATCATTTTTAACTCAATCAATAACACTGATTCTCAACCTGAAAACATCTAAGAACTGTACATGAAAATGCAGATGTTGGATACCCACCAGACTTAAAAGCCTAGAGACAGACTCTCCAAGGATAAGGCTGGAACCAGTGTTTCTTAAAAGCTCCACAAGGTATTGCTGGTGTGCTCACTTACATAAGAATCACTGGAACCAACTATCAAGAACAAACTAGGGGTAATATTATTTACATGAGGGCATCTGGAAATGGAAGGAGGACATGGGGTAGGGCTTGGGTATATAATAACTTGAAGGGAAACTGAGAACCAGGAATGCTACAAGTCCTTAAACCTTGGGCAAGTCACAAAACAAACGACTGATATAACCAATATGCCACTGGCATCCCTGTTGAAAATTTCAGGACTAGGTGTTTTCATAAACCAAAAAATAGATACACGTAAAATTATGGCTCATAGAAGATGGCATAAAAGACCTAATTTTATTAAACATTTATAATATACAAAATCTTAGGTATAAGGAAAGCTAATCATTTTTTAAAAACTTACACTTAAATGTTTCTGCCTCCAAAACTTGACAACTGGCTTGATGCTCAAACTGATCATCTTCACAGAGAAAGTTATGGCAAAAAGAACAACTGAATATTCTGCCTCCTAATGGATTGAAACAAACCCACAAATATAATTATGATAAACTTAAATTTAGAAAAACCGTATTTAAAGCTGCTCAAAAGAGAAGGCAAGTGGTCTCTGTGGTGCACAGCATTTTGCTTTCTGGTAAAAGCTAAAATGAAAACAGCTGAAGTACTTGAAATCAAACCATAAAATGATGGGTTCCCAGAATCCACTGGTACTTATGCAGTGCTCCAAGAGTTCACCCACTCTACCAAAACTTTCCTGCTTAGGTCAAAGCTAGCATTCACAATCACTGCTGCTACAAATCCCATTTCCAACTAAATTGATCACCAAAACAGTACCAGTAGTTACAATGGCTAGTACCCATAATATAATCTTAAAAATAGCATTCCAGGCCAAGGATATAGCTCAGCAGTGTAAGCCTGCTGGCAAGAGCAAGGCCAGGAGTTCAATCCCCATACCAAAAAAAATAATAATAGCATTCTGTATGCTTAAAAGTCAGCCTTCACTTACAGCAAAGCTCACTGCTTGCTGTTAGTGACTTACCATGGTCCCATACACCTCGTTCACACTCAACACACTCAGCATCAGTAAGAGGGCAGGTGCAGGCGTGCGTGCTGAGACACTTTCGGCCATGGCAAACCCACGCTTCACAGAAGTCACATATTGCACCCTGCAACAAGGAACAAGAACATCTGATCACTGTCACTTGATCAGCTGCAATCACTGTTTAACCAATGGGCAACTATCAAAATCTTACACATTTAGTAATTTATCAAACTTCAATTGAGGATTTTATTGTTTAAGTCAAAATAAAGAGGGTTCTCTAAAAAAAACTTCTTAACCAATAACAAGGCACAACATGTAACATTTAGCTATAAACCAAATGAAAAAACAAGCAAAGGAGAAGCTATACCCTTAACTCAGAGTTGCAAGTGTTGCCTTCAAAAGATTTCCAATTCAAAGATTAAGCTTTCTTGTCTTTACCTAAATTGAGTTTTTAAATACCATCTAAATACTACTATTGAACTTTTTAATACTATTTCTGATTTAAGAAAAATCCTTACTTCATTTATAAAATAATCAAATAGCTTTTGTCAAATAACTAGGAAAACTCTGAATTTATGCCATCTTTTTTTAATGATACCTTACAGTTTAAATCATTACAACATTTCTTGTGGGAGAAAAAAAAGTAAAACATATAGAACTAAACTACAGGATAAGACTCTCCAATTCCATGTAAATGTAGTAAGAATATGTCTTTCAATAACACACTGACACCTACAGAGTATTAATACTAGAAAGAATCTTCAACAAATACAGCTACACCATCTTTCCTTTATAAATGAGGACAGTAAGCCCCAAAACTAAATCTAAGTCCCCAACTTGAGTTACAACTTAGCTGAAATTTAAACCTTGGCCCTTTGAACCTCAGTTCAATAGTATAATACTCAAGGCTCCATAAGTAAAAAGAATTAGGAAGAATGATTTTCGCTTTGTAAAAACAGATAATGAGTATAGCTAGCAAATCCTTTATTCTCTTAAATGAGCCAGATTCTAGCAAAAAAGAGCAAGCACTCTTAAATTATACAGTGTAGGAGAGTTTCAACGCACAGTGTACAGCACAGGGCTTTAGAAAAATATGCAGGGATAACACACATCTCCACCTGAAGGGACAAGGGAAGAGAGGGAGTAATTACCAGAACTTAAAGTGCTGAGAACAACCTGACCATATGAAAAAAGGTCCACCTCAACACAGAGAACTGTATATTCTTAGAAAGTTACCATTAGTAAGGTATTTCACTTGACACAATATTGTAACTTTCTTCATAGACTACAATTTGGATGTGAAGCATAAAATTACCTAACAAAACGTAATAAAACTGGTAATTCATATTTAATAGAAAATATGCTTTAGTGAATAAATCTATCTAATGTCTTTATAAAACTAAATTTCCTTAGAAAATCCTATATAAAATGAAGATTACAGTAAAGAATACATACTTTTAAAAAAATGTAATGTTTAAAAGGAAACAAATCTAATAACTCTACATTCTTTGGGAGCTCAGTTGTTAATTTAACCAAAGGCTTATGTTAAGAAAAGCTTGTATAAAGTAAATGACATTTTTACATTTTTGTGAAGTCAGATTAAGGTGCACAACAAAGGTACCATTGAGAAATGAATTAACTAGACAAGAGACAAAGCACAGCTAAAAAAAGGGAAAAAAAAAGGTCAGAAAGACCTTTTATTATGCTTTGAAGTCTACAAGCCAAAGATATAACTGACAAGAAGCTTACCACCATTGCAAGGCCAGTACTGTATACACCAGCATGCTTTATAACACAGTCTGAAGACTTCATCATACACTTCGTCTTTCCTAGTAAAGAAACAAAAACGCAGTCTTAGTCCTGCAAAATGGTACAAATAGGTATTCGTAAATTTCTCTTGATCTAACCTAACCTCCTAAGGAAATACTTTTTTAAAAAGTAACATCAGTATCCTTTACTGTACATAATTAAAAAGAAACAATGAAAGTAACTGAAAATTCATTATCTGAGGCAGGCCCTTTGAGATTAAAACTGTATTAATAAACCTGTTAAAATATATAATACATTTATATATTTTATATAATTCATGCTTGTACTAAAATTAAAAATTACATTCTAAGTCAATAATTTTAATAGTTTAAAATTGCACCAATTTTCAAATCAAAATATTTTTAAAAGCCATGCTTTAAAATGAAATTTACATTTTATAATTTATAATAACAAGAGTATAGCGTCAAGTTGTCATTTACTTCTTGCTACAAAATACTACAAACACAACCAAAAATGGTTATATAACTCACCCGTTTAAGTTTATTCATTTGTAAAACTACAAACATGGTCCCCAGGTAAACATTTTTTCTAACAAAAAAATTTTTTTTTGTCTTTTTCTTTTTTATCAGTACCAGGGATCAAACTCACAACCTCACACCTGCAAAGCAGGCGCTTATGCTGCTGAGCTAAACCCCCTAGCCCCCTTTTTTCTAACAATTCTAACAGAATTTTGAAATAGTGCCCAACTGAGCACCAAAAAATATAGCATTTCAAATAAAAATTCCAATATCCTCATAAAAGCTGATCTAATAGCAAATTACCAACCTAAAACATTGCCAGAAAAATTTGTGTACCAGATATGATGTGAAGATTAATAATGACACATTAATCACCATCTGAGACTCTACAAAGTGGAACAGTAGAGAAAAAGAAGATGCTTAATTTTCCAGGATCTTGATTTCCTGAGGAATAGTTAGACAACAGGAAATGGGAAGAGAAACTGGAAATGCAACAGTAATTACCCCAATTGTCTAACAATAGGAACAGTAAACAGAAAATGCACCCAATTATACCACTAAAAAATCCAAGCCGAGAAACATTAAAATATGCTAAGACTTGACCTCTAAATTTTCTATAAAATCTAATTTCTCATTTTACATTTATCTGCCCTGTGCAAAATAAAGATGTAAAAGCAGACAGATGCATGTTTCATGGAGGTCAGTTTTCTCTTTTACATTAATTGCAGAATACAAAAGATGTATCATTGAAAGCTAGAAGTACACTAAAAATATTCAGAGATGCAGTACTAAACTGGTTTTCCTCTGCAGCATGATTACACTTAACACATTTAGAAATGTGGAAATCCCAAACTGTTCCACTAGAAACTAACACCCCAAAATAAAGGGGACATTTGTTCATGTTAAAAATCTGAGGAAATGCTGAGTGTGGTGCATGTAATGTAATCCCAGTACTCAGGAGGCCTAAGTAGGACTGTTGTGAGCTCAAGACCTGCCTGGGCTACAAAGTGAGCTCAAGGCCAGCCTCAACTGCATAGTGAGACCTTGTCTCAAAAAGACCAAAAAAAAAAAAAAGAGGGATAAATCTGGAGTAAAGTTAATCAAGTTTCCTTACTGAAGATCTCCAGAACTTTTAACACATAAATATGTAATAGAAATCTCCCAGAAGGGAATGAGAGTTGAAACCAGCAGCACTTCTTATATACATATATTTTTCAAAAATTATTGATATCTCAGGTAGCAGGTAGGAGGCTACTTGGGAAATACCATTTATTTCTATTTAAATAATCATTTCAGAGTGAAAGTTCTACCTATACTTGGAAACTGGATGCATGACACAGAACACTACTTAGGTCATTCAGGAATACATTTGAGGAAACTCAAGAATCATATGGTAATACTAAACAGAAAAAGAACTCACCATAAAATCAAAACTGGGTTGGTTATATGGGGAATAAAATGGTTCTCAGTGGCTTAACAGACTACAAAAGGAGGAAGTATCTTCCACATTGCCTAGCTAGCAAAATTGGAACCAAAATTTATTTTACATTCTTACAAAGGGCTTTTATTTGGTTTCTTTTTTGATACCAGGAACCAAACTCAGAACCTCACCCTTGCTACGCAGGTGCTGCAATAGTGAGCTACATCTCCAGCCCATAGAAGAAACAAAAATTTAGAACACTTTAAAAAGTAGTTAAGACTAAGATGGTAAATTAAAGATTCAGAATCACCAAATGTTTAGTTTGAAATTTATTTTTTTTAATATTTAAAACTTGGTAGCAATCTATATTTGTATTTTACATTATTTTCTAGTATTATGTCAAAGAAGCAAAACTAAAATTTGATGTTTTCTGATTACTCAACTAACATCTGATGGTATTGCACTATAGAGAAGGCACATTATTGTAAATAATAACAAATCCATAGGTTCAAAATGATTAACCACCAAATATCTGATGAAAGAAAAGGTACACTTTTATATACTTACCACATTGTGCACAGATTGGTAACTTCTGTACAGCATTACAAAAATAACAAAATGCTCTATTCTTCTGCCGCCTTGTCATGTAAAATAAAAATTTTAAATAAGGTAAATGCCAAATAAAGACCAAAGAGGCTGCTTTATTATATGGAGAGCAAAAAAAACAAAAATTTACCTCTGGCACTTGTCACATTCCTGTAAAAAGTAAAAATGTATCATTAACTTTTCTTCTGAAAATCGTATTGCCCATGTTAAAATTTAAATGGCATTAGACCAAATCCTCCACTTTCACCCACACATAAAGTTTCACCCCCAGCCCCTCTGTATACATTTAAACAACCATAGCCATAACACTCTAGAAAAAGTGGCATCACAAAAGAGGCTGAATATAGTGGGATTTTCCCCCATTTTTTTAAGAAATCAAATGATGCAGAACAAACAAAAAACAGTGCAGAACACAAAACAATAAAAGATCACAGAACACCTACATTTAAGCACAGCTGTAAAAGCTCTCCACAGAGGATCCCTCAGCACTTTTCAAATCTTGGTCTAGGCTCTTTGGAGCAAATCCCCGCTGGTCAGCCTTTCTGCCAAGAACATCTCAAGCTTTCTCTTCTCCATACTTTTCCTTGCTCTAATACTTTTTTTACTCTCTAGCTTATGGAAGTTCTAGTAATAGACTCACCTTCTCTGTCAACTGAACCCCTACACACATTCTTATTTTATCACCTCTTAGTCCTAGTAAGTGTACTGTGCCTTTATGAAATACTTACCAACAGCTAGTACTCATTATACACGTTTACATATATGCTGATCCTTTACTATTCTGTCTAGCACCTCTCTTCTCAGGAAAGGACCCTGACCCCCAGAACAGTCCCCACTGTCACAGCTATGCTATGTGATTCTACCCTCTCCCTTCCATAAGGGTTAGTTGGGATGAACATTGTTTCATAACAGACCTATTACAGTTCTTTCTTTCCAGCTCAACAATGTATAAAGAGATACATGTATGCTACAATTAAGTAGCAAGCAAAGCAAATGAACAATCTGAAAAAGTTAAAATGAGTGAAAGACAAGAAATGGAACAAGTTGGGACATAATTGTCCTAATGACCTATAAGATGTAATCAAACTATTTAATGAGTGATTAAATTTAAAAACTGTATTATAGTCAAGAGAGACACTACAATTAATCTTGCTCAAATTTTTCCTTGCCCTGAACACACTGACCCCAATGTTCCTGCCACATTCTGAAGCAGTTCTCGAAACTCTCTTTTATGAATGTTCTTATGAATTGTGATCAGTAATACTACGAATGCTGCTACTGAGTGCCAACCAATGGAAAGGAAGGCTCAAAAAAAAAAAATTAGTTTTTCATACACCTCATTCAAGAGAACTGCAGTTTATGACTTACAACTCTTCCCAAAGTCAAAATGATCATGAAAGATTGACGTTTTTAATCACTTCAGAACACGGAAGCAGCCCTGACAGCACAACTAAAGACACAAAAAGGGCTTCCAGAACTGGTTCAGCAAGAATGATGGGATAAGTATGTTCAAAGCACAGAGGAGCACCCTACAGGTGATTAATAGCAATGTGTGTATTATATAATGAGTTTATTTTTAAATGCAAGCATTCTCTCCTTTCTAGCTACTCACAATTAATCCACTATCCATTCAATAAACTATTTTTTCCTATAGTTATTTAAGTTGGATTTGTCACTATAAACAAACAACTAAACTGTAATCTTGTAGAAATAGGGACACCAGGTAATTCCTCTATAAATCATCATAGTACCTAAAACAGTACCTGACATGGAGTAGACACACAATAAATGTTTGCTAAATTAAGGAATATAAAGCATTTCACGTACATTTGATGAAGCTAAAGGAGAAAAAAATGAGGAGGAAATTGTGAAATGAGCAAAACTGTGAAAATATGGAGAAAGAATAATGATCATTTGGTTTTTCACAACTTTCAATGCAGCTAGAAATTATCAAGATTAATCCAGTAAGCACAGGTATAAAAAGTAGTAAGACAGGTAGCCAAAAGAGATGTCAACAAGTCGGAAAGTTCGAAAAAACAGAAACAAATGAACGAAGAATTGCTGAGAGAAAATGATGAAAACGCAAAGACAAGCTGAATTAAAGTATGTAACAGCAGACACAGTGGTATACGTCACATAATTCTTACTGTCCATTCTTGTTCAGTATCTGTTTACCACAAACATGAAAGGCAATATGCTAGGTTCTATAAATAATATGTAATCAAACAAAAATCACAGCTACTCAGATTAGAGAAACAAATAATACACTTCCAATACAGATTTCAGATTAAACAATGAAATACATGCAGAAAGTGTACTCACTGAATTTTTTCAAGTGTATTTCAGATAAAATACATAAAGAATCATAACTATCATTTGATATTTTAAAAAAAGCTGTTACCATTGAAGCATTACATGGGTGTTTAGCTAAATCAACAGTGCTTCTTGATGCTCTCAGTTGCTTTTCACGTTCCCTACGGTTCTCGGCCTTCTTCCTGGCACCAGTCTTTTTTTTAGGCATTTTCTGCTCTTTCTAACCAAAAAAGAAAACAGGAAAGATATAACTGCTAGGTTTCAATTCCTATTTTAAAGAACTAAATTTAAAAAATAACAAAATACTCTCTCGCTGAATTTTAAAATTGTCTTGACATTTTCATGATTAAGGAAGCTGTAAGTCTTTATGAAATATTAAGCACACATTACTCCAAACAAAGACCTTTAAAATTAATGCACCAAACAATTCTTTAAAAACGCAAATATAAACAGAAATTATTCTAATATCCAAAGTAGCAGTATTTTCCCACTAAGAAAAAAAGGTTCTCTGATGCACCTTGTTGGGGGAAAAAAAATCCGTAAGTATATATCATCAAGAAATCATTTAAAAATGTATTTTTACGCATTGCTTTTTGGAGGTATGTATTCAGATAACCTAATTCTCCCAAAACAATGAGTAAAACAAGTTTAATCTTTGCCAGGTAATATCTAAATAAAGCATCACAATTGATTCAAATGCCACTGTTAATTACAAACTCAAACCATTCTCCTGGAAAGGCAATGAAAACACTACATCTGTCCTTGACTCTGAAAGCTGCTCTTTCTACTGCAAGCAGCAGATAGTTTTAATAAGGTTCACACGTAATGTACAAGAGTACATATGTTTACCGTATATATAAAAGTAAGGACCTTAACAATGGCTTTTATCACTTCACTGAAACAACTACAACATTTAAAAAAGCAAGCCTTTCCAAAACTGAAGCATTCTGAACTGAACTATCCAATCAAAAACCGAGATAGGCAGGCTGGTACGGAATGAAAACACGCACAGACCGGTCTTAAAAGTTAACCGGTGATTACTTAAGTAGCGTCGAAGGCACTCGAACACCTTTCCACTATGTAAAACCAAAAATCTGGAGGGTGTGCTCCCTGGCCAACAGCCGTGGAAGGATAATCACGGAGTAATCACGGGGTGACACCTTCTGCGTCCCAGGGGTATCTCTGGGACTTCACTAAGAAAAACTGAGCTTCATTTTATATTCCCTCCAAGTTGTTAAGGGCACCTAACAGTAAGTTCCTTTCCCCAGCCTTACAGGGGTTCACGCCCCGCCCCAGCAACGCCCTCTCTTAGAGTCAGCCCCGTTGCTATCACCAAATCAGGGACCGGCTCAGGGTCACCGGGGTTCAGAGGTCAAGCATGGAGTCTGGGACCCCATAGGAGACGGGGGCGCCCCAAGGTGACAAGCAGAGCACCACGCGGCCCCGGGCTGCGGCGCAGGTCACCGTACCTCGCGCGCTCACCAACGCGGGGCGGCCGGGCTCAGTCGGGGTCCAGTAGCTGAGAAGGGGGCCGCGCCCACGGTCAATCCGACGCGGGCACCAGGGACTCCTGAAAATGTACCACCACCACAAACCCCGCGCGGGTTTGCGACACTGGAAGGAGACCCGGATGTCCTGCTACGTCAGCAGCGCCCTTACGGCGCACGTCAACCGGAAACGGCCCGTCCGGCCCCGCCCACTTCTGTTTGCTATGCTCAGCTCCCTCCCGTGCCTGTGGGTTGGGAGGTTCATTGAATAGACCTGTGAGAGGAAGAAGGTGCCAGGGCAAAGGGACTCACAGGGCAGAGAGGGGCCCAAGGCCTGGCAATTTTAATTTTTCAAGAAAAATTGAAAAAATATAAAAGGAAGAGGAAAAAGAATTTGCCCAAACAGTTGGAAATCACTATCCAAATCTTCCATGCTGCCCATCACAAGCTGACCTTCTGTTGCCTACTTGTGCTGTACTCTTGAGACTCCACTCCTTTGTGAATGAATTCTCCCACATTCTCAACCTCTGGTGTGTGCCCTGCCTGCCCACAACTGAAACCTAACTACCCTCTCCTCGCATAGGCGGCTTGCTTTAAATTTCACTAAAGAGAGGTTTTGTGTTTTCACCCAGCCCTTGTCTCTTGGTGAGGACAGTGCCATGGTCCCCATTGTCACGTCCAGGCAATCAGTGCTCCTTTCTGTCTGGTCATGCCAAATTTTATCCTTCATCTTTGCTATTTGATACTCACCCCTTATTCATGGAAAACTCTGACTTCTAACTGTGTCATCATAGTCACATTAACAGGTGAATTGAAGATCTGTTCTCCTAAATCCTTGGTTTCTTCATCTCTAGCAGCCATTACCTTTACTACACTCTAGGAATCCACTTTCCTGACTCCAGCTCAGATCATGTCACCAGATGGAACTGTTCCATCACTGAAATCCAAAGTTCAAATGTCTAACTATCCGACTTCCTATTTTGCCAACTTCTTCCTATAATTTTCCCTTCTAATGGAGACTTTAAATCTCTCGACCACTCTTTCTATTGATCATCTTTCTGCTTTCTTCCTGTCTTTTTAATTGCTTTAAAATACATAGTTCATTACTTCATTTCACAATCTGCCATGTGTTCTGTCTAATCAAACCAACTGGAATATACCAAATCCCTGGAATTTCTTTTTTGCCTATTCTGAATTTCTAGGGGGAGGGACAAAAGAAGAGAAAGATGGGAGGGTGAGTGGGGCAGGTAGGGTGGAGTGGGGAAGGGAGGGGAAGAAATAGACATACACAATCATGATTCTGCTTTATATTTGTAATCACCATATCAACAACCTCTCAGAATTGCCCATCAATCCGCCTATGTTTTGTAAATAGAATCTATCATTCGGGTTTGTCACGTAGCTTTACCAAATCTTCCATTTCTTAACCTTCCACCACTACTTCTATCAATTGTAACATATATTACCACCTGTATTTTATAGAGAAAAATAGAGAACAACTAACATATAACAATTTTTTTGCTCTAGGCTTGCTAACTACTTTACATCCGTAGCATTAACTCCCAATTTTACAGAAGAGGAAACCCAGGCAGAGACACAATTGTACTTGCCCCAAGATTACACAGTTAGCTTGTATTATCATTTAGTGCAGCAGTTTCCAAACATTTTGGCCTGAAGGACCCTTAAAAACTTTTGAGGAGCCTCAATAAGTTTTCATTTATGTGGGCTATATCTATTATTATTTACCATGTAAGAAATTCAAATCGATAAAATTTTTAAGTATTTCTTATTTAATATAATTCTGGTAAACCTATTACATGTTAATAGAGTAGCATTTATATGAAACAAAGCAGCCTTTCCTCAGACAAAAACATAGAAGCATGAAACTATTTTATAGCTTCCCATATCTCTTTAATGTAATGCTTAGTAGAAGGGAGGTGATCTTATATCTGTCACCCCACATAAGAATATTTTGACATTCTCTTTTTCCCAAAGTGCAGTTTTCCAGAGAAAGTATGACAGAACCTCTGGCAAAGGACTGGGGGAATCGTTAGCATGTGCAGTTTTTATGGTATCCTAGTGCTTTCCTCCTTGGGACCTGGCCTTTGCTATGTTGATAGTTTTGAAGATTCAAAAGCTGGCTCAGACCTAGAAATTAGACAGAGATTTGTGCCCGCTATTGAAGCACTGTCCTCAGCATCTTGCCCTTACCTTCCTTTAATTTCTCTTGATTGTACTACTGGAGCAGTATCTTTATTTGCTGCCTGTTGAGTTTTGTCCTAGGAACACCACGTTCTAGTACCTCTTTACCTTCTCAGGGCCAGTCCCCCCTCCCCCACTTGTTGCCATACAGCTCTTGTTGCTCATTTTGGTACCTGCACCAGCGTATGTTGTAACTTGATCCTGTCTGTAGACTAATGACCAAGACATAGGGAGCACATTTTGACAGTAGCACAGTTTATATTACAAAGAGAAGGTTTCTGATGGTTTTCCGGCAAAAGGGAGCACTAGCCATTAATCAGGAGTTCTGGGTCCCATTCAGGCATAGGGGGTTTAAGAGAATCTAGAAACTGAAGACTCCGAGACATCCCCACTCAGGCAGCTCAATCAGTGTCTTTATTTCCAGTGTAGCACTATGACTTTGACATAGCCAACCTGCTAGGGTTTGTGGCTCATCTACTTTGGAGCTCTGCCACACTTACGATTAAAGTGCCAGGCCTGTTGCTCAGCTGTTTCTGCCATTGCATGCAGGATAAAAGCCTCTTTATTTGCTACCAAAAAGACCTTCTCAATTATCCTCTTAGATTTTAATAGCCAACTAGCCACTCAGCATTTTACTATTTCCAAAAATCAATTTTACTTAGCAACAGTCAATGTGCCTGTCCTTAAGGTTACTATTGCCCTCATATTTCTCAAATGCTTGATACATGGCACCCACTAAAATATTACTTTCCATTAGAAAATCAGCATAGTTCATTACTCATCAAAGTTTTAACTACTGCAGTTACCTTCTGCCAAGGTCTCTCTGTCTTACAACTATCACTATTGAAGAGGTCCTTCCTGGCAGTCAAGTGGCTATGATTTGAGTCATATATCCCATCTCAGTGTCTACTTTCTTAGGCCAGATATGGAAATGACTGCCTTAGATTGACTTCACCAACCAGTGCCCTGAGTCAGAGATGAAGTTAGGAAGTATATTACACAATGCTTTGGGGAGCACCAGCTATGGAGGGGATGGTACCAGGACTGGACAGAGAGAAGGGATTGTCTGTAGTATATTCTACATGGAGACCTTGGCATTGAATCTAAGATGTCTTTTCAGAGTCATTTTGTGTTGAAGCAGATAGACTGAGACTTTATGCACCTTCAGCATTCACTCATTGTATGCAGGCTGCCGAAAGGATGCTTGTGACCTGGACCAACTCTACTTGTGAAGAGGGCCATCGGTCAAATGGTGACACCTTGTTGCACTCCCAGCAACTGAGGAAGTAACTCCATCCTCTACAGAAAATGATGTCAAAAGAAATATTCAAACAAGCAGAAAGAATCCTGTCATTCACTGATACTCACTGAAAGAATTCCAAAAAGTGTGCTTCAGGAAGATGAAAATTCAGGCAGAAGGAAGGAAAGAATAGGGAAACTGGTAGGCCATAATAAATTCATTTAATAAATTTAAGAATTTCTTTAATGAAACTAGCTTTGAAGAAGAGGCAGAATTTCTAAGGGTCTATACCTGTATTGCCCTTTGTAGTTTACTAAGCTTCTCAAATTCATTTAAAATTCATTTAATCTAAAATAAATTCATTTTAGATTTAATAGGATAAATCTAAAACAGTTTATATATAACATTATACAATATATATCATATATGCATGATAAGTAATTTATGGAAACTATACAGAACTAAAATATTCTATAAATCCAGTGTAGTTCAGATCAGAACCTGACAGATTCTTTATTTGACAGAGATTTTTTTTAAATTAAAATCAATTTTTTAAATTTGATTGATCCTAAAATTCATAGGGACAAGAATCACTAACCAACAGATCATCTTAAACACAAGCAGAAGGTACCCTTATTTATTTTAAAGCTCTACCATAGTATATATCAGCTGCCAAAAATAAACAAAAGTAACTGGATAAAAAGCTTAGATACAGATTCAAAAACATTTGAGTAAATAGTAAGGGACGTATTTGTATCAGTGAGAAGAGATGTATTATTTAATAAGCGAGTCAAATTCTTTTGGTTGTTCATATAGAAAAAAAATCAGGTACCTATTTAAAAGCAGGAGTAAAATAAATTTCAGATGAACTCAGAATCAATATCTAAAGCAGTAATATAAAACTAGTATAAAAATAATTTTGTCTTGAGATAATTTCTAAAGACACAAAAAGGAAAAATACTAAAGAAAATAACAAGTTTAACTAAAAAGTTAAAACTTCATTGTAACAGAAGGCATCCTAAATGTAAAAAGGGCAAATTAAAAATGAAGAAGAGGGGCTGGGGATTTAGCTCAGTGGCCCAAGCACCTGCCTTGCAAGCAGGCAGTTGTGAGTTTGATCCCTGGTACCGATAAAAAAAAAAGAAAAAGACAAAAAAAAATTTTTTAAATGAAGAAGAGTTTTTATTTCTACATAAATGATAACAAATTTATAGGCAGAATAAATGAAAAACTACTATTCAGTTAAAGAAAATGAAAATAACCCAAAAGAATTAAACAAAAGATATGAATGGAAAATTTCATGGAACTGGAAATCTAAAAACCCAAATCAATACCAAAGTGAGGTATCATTTCATGTCCATCAGAGTAGCCAACATTTTAAAGATTTAATATGTTAAGTAAAGATAGAGAAGCAATTTTTAATCAATTCTGAATATAAAATGTTAAACTGTTCTAGAAAGCGGGTTGACAATGTTGAACGCAGGTAAATATGTGCAAAACCAAAGATTCTGAAATTCCTTTTCTAGGTCTCTACCAAATGAAATTGTTCACACTTGATATCATAGCACAGTTTAATAACCACAAAGTTTAAAGGCAGTCTTCCAATAGAGAAAAAGAGAAAATTACATGCTATTTGTACAGCAATTAAAATTCATGAACTTACTACCTAAGTGCCAAATAAAGTAATTTCAAAATACCATATTTGAGGAAAGAAAAATAAAGTGGAAA